AACAAAACAAGAGCACACACATAGTAATTTAATTAGTAGACGAAAAACTAACTGTACAAACACAGTAAATCTAATAGAGTAACAAAACAAGAGCACACACATAGTAATTTAATGAGAACAAAACACTGTACAAACACAGTAATTTAATGAGAACAAAACAGAGCACACACATAGTAATTTAATGAGAACAAAACACTGTACAAACACAGTAATCTAATGAGAACAAAACAGAGCACACGCATAGCAATTTAACAAGAACAAAACACTGTACAAACACAGTAATCTAATGAGAACAAAACAGAGCACACAAATAGTAATTTAATGAGAACAAAACACTGTACAAACACAGTAATCTAATGAGAACAAAACAGAGCACACGCATAGTAATTTAACAAGAACAAAACACTGTACAAACACAGAATTTAATGAGAACAAAACACAACACAAAAATAGTAATTTAATGAGAACAAAATAAAGGACAAACATAGTATCTTAATGAAAGACATATTGGTGTATTTTTTTTTATATATTTACTATTGGAGTCAGTGCACATAAATTACTAGACTAATTTATCTACTGAAAAACATGAAGCATCAACTAAGACTAAAACATATGTAGACACAGATTTTTCACTAAACAGACAAAGATAATAAATTATATGGTTATAGATAAGTTGGTAATAATATGTGTGTTGTATTACATCACATTATGACTGATAATTATTTTACTCGTATCTCTTTTTAGTGGGTTTCTAGTTAAGTGTGTATCATATACTTTCAACTACACTTCATCTGTTATATGCTACTGATAATGAGGTCTTTTGTTCATTAACAGAGTTCATCAGCTTGGCTGGGTTACAACATTCAAAGTCTCAGTTGGTTAAAAGTTAGCATACACACTTCTAACTGGAATCATATATAAAGCCAGTAAAGAATAATAACAGTAAAATTCCTGTGATATAATATTATATATTGTGTACTAGAAGTTAATGATCCTCCAGAGTGTTATTCAGTTTATTATGTGTTGATGACTTACATTTGTTTGATTCTTTTTTTAAATATTTATTTTTGATTTGTTGTATCTTTGTTTTGATTTTGATTGTGTCATGTGTTGGTATACATGCACTCTGAACTTTCCATCCTTGTAGAGTAGACAGAGATAGATCAGGAGACTGTTTCTCACCTTCTTGTTCCTGTGCTAAGCCATATAACAGACTTGATTCCACCTCAATTGACATCTAGTTCTGGTGAGACATTTCCAAAACAGCTATAAAGACTGGAGTCTGATGTCTTATAACCATTTCACTTTTCCTGTGGGTCTACACTTAATGTTATTAAGGTTGGTCCTTTCAAATTCTTTAGTTTACTGATTACTGTTCAGTTCATTACTGAAAAATCAACCTTGAACTAAGTCTGATATGCATGTAATGTTATTTATCATCATAAAACTTTAGATTTTCAATGTATCTTGAAGTTGGAAATCATCTTGCAAATCTTGTACCTCAGAGAGGGATGTGTTCATGAAGAATATATTTGGATATATCCATGTGGTACTGTAAGGCTTTTATATGGGTTGGATTCTTTACAGTTGGTGTCTGTGACTTGTTGGTGATAAATATCAATAATAAACAAACAGCACACAATCCACTTGTTTTAAAATAATACATTAAAACATGTCAAACATAGATACAAATATTCCTTACACTGTTGGTTATCACAGTTGTATCCAGAGCTTTAAATAATTGTCCCTTTTTCATCAAAGTCCACACAGTCTAGTTCAATTACTTTAGAACACAACTGACAAGAGGAATTATTCTGCTCTACTCTGTTATTACAATACAATCTGTGATAATTTTACTTTAAAAATGCCACTATATGCTCTTTATGGCTAAACTCACAATCATGTGGTGTAAATCTAGCTCTTGAAATTTTCTAGGCATATTTATACCCCAACAGAAGTCTAGAATATTCCATACACTACTCTCTGGTTAATTTAATATTTTCCTCACATATTTTGATCTGGACAACTAAGTATCATGCAAATAAAATTTCTACAATTTAGTTACTGAAAACACTCATTACACAATATAGAATAATTTCTATTAAACATTAAGGGAAATAAAATTAAGTCTTCTGTAAAATGAAATATTTTCTTACTTTGCAACTGATAAGTGAATACAGCCATTGTATTGTTTCGATGTGTTCAATAACCCCATTCATACCATCTACATATAACATCACCTGGCCTAAAGCTATGGAAGATAAGAAAAACTGTTTTTAATCAAACAAAACTTTGACAGAGAAAAGCTTCACTGCTAGAAAACTAAAGAACAAATGTCTATAAGTACATATATATATATATATATATATAAGAAACGGTTTCTTTCATAAGTCAGATTACCTGCCTACTCCATTTTAATAAAGGATGTTTATCAAAAACAATGAATGAGCATAATTAACTGTAAAGACATGAAATACAGGTTTGAAATACTATGTTTTATGTCTAAGAATCCTGACTATTTTAGGGATAATTGTTTCATTTATGTAAATCTACTAATTTCAGCAAGTGCTAATTGCCAAAATATTTTATGAAATCCTCTTTCTATTGTTCAGTTTCTTGTGATACTAACATTAATGTATCTTATTATTAATTTGTAGAGGAAACCTAGTATTCTTGAATTTCATACAAATACTGAAATACAATTTTCTCTCTGTCTTTTTTTCTCTATATACATATATTCATGTGTCTCAAATAATGGCTGAGACTGTTCTTAGTATAAAAAATGGTATTTTTCCCATAATTCAGTTTGAGATAAGTAAAAAGTAAATTGTAAAATATATGAAATTATAGAATCTTCATACTTGCCTCGAAGAATATAATTTTGATAATTTTGATCTGCTTCTGATCCCACTTTGATGAGACAAGCCAACCCATCATTTTGTACAAATTCGTGCACCAGGTCTTTATCATCCTACACAAAGCAAACATTACAAGAAAAAAAAAATCAGTGCATTACAAAATGAAACTGGAAATTTGTAAGAAGATTTTGTTTTAGCTCTCTTGAATATAACAAAAATCATCATTTCTATTATTCTGCATTACAAAAGAAAACATAAAAATCACACTGATTTTTAAATAAGAGATAAGTGAATGGGAAAATAACCTTTATTGCATTGGGAAACTTACTACCATTGGGTCTGTCACATTTTTGAATAATGCATTGTTTTGCTCCAATTTTTTTAAATGAAATTCAGCTCCAAAAGTAGAGTATAATGCAGAAATACTTACCCCATATTAATTACATTAGCAGAATTCCCAGTAAATCTTGAATAAATCTCAATAACTCTGCTTGGTAATGCTACATTCACACACATTCATCTTAAGTAAGTAAAATCAATTTATATGTGTTGTTACATAAAACAAAGGAAGGATAATTTCAATTTACTGGTTTACCTAAAACTAGTTATAAAATAATTATATTCATCCCTCATTGATTCATTTTATGCAAAGCAGTCATATAAGTAATGTTCCTTAAGCCTACACTTGAAAATGAACATTTAGCAACATGGTTTAATAGTTAAAAAACACACTTGAAAATGAACATTTAGCAACATGGTTTAATAGTTCACCATATTTAACTTCACTGTTGTCACCCTAAACAATAAGGGCAGCTTGGCATCAATGTTGCATGTGTAAAATCTGTGTAAGCTAGGTCGTGAGGCAGGAGTATATTAAGGTTAACCAATGCTCTAGGCCCACAGTTTCAGATGTGCTCCTTCCTTCTCAAATGACTCACCAGAAACATTATCCAACAACACAACAACAACAACAACGAAAAATGCACTGAAATGGATCTAAGTTTGTAATTTTTAAATAAAAAAATCAAAATTAAATTTATTTTGAAATTTTTTCCCCTAACATGCACCCCTCAAATTGTTGTGCTCCAGACCCATGCCTTGAAAGTCTATTGGTTAATAAGCCCCTGTTCTGAGGTAATCTTATCCATTGAAAAAACTGTTTCTAGGGTATTTTACTGTCTGGACTCACATGAGTTATCTCCATAAAGCATCTTATACATGCACATTGAGATATAAATCTGTTGAGGATGCAGGCAATGCCATTTGATCAATTTCCTTTCTTCAAGGAAAGTTTAGTATGGTCAGGTGGACATCATCATCATCCAGTAGGGTAAAGTAAGGGCCACTTACACCAGCATATGGCAGTACAAACAGTTACTATAATAGGTGGCATTAATGATACTATTTCACTTATTCTTGCCTCTGGCTTCACATTTGTATTTGAAAACAGTGTTGGTTCTGGTTCAAGACTTTTTCAAAAGAACATACATCAGATACTTGTCTGGAGAGTAAAGTATGACTCATTGGTGGTAAGCAGTATTGTGTCCTCCTGTGACCAGAACACTCCTCATTGGACGTTTAACATGCAAGCCACCCTAGCAAAATCTGTTTTTAATAATGCGAGTATACAGATTTCAACAAGACGAAATTGGTGACGTCAAACTGGTCAACCTATCACAGACATAGGTCAAAAGTTTACGTTTCAGTATAAGGTGGTGATTGGTAAAATCTACATTCCAACTGCACATTGAAGTTTCGCACACCATCAATTGAAAGTTGAATACTGTTACTGTCCGTAAGCAAGTACATTCTACTGTTGAAATCTTGGAGGCCTTCTATTCTGCTCTAAGACAATACCTAGCTACCTATATGTTTGCTAAGGCATAGCAGCACTGAAACTGATCTCCACCCCTACAGGTTGAGGGCCTGGTTCTCGGGTATGAAAGAACAGCACAAGAAAATAAGACACCCCTACAGGTTGAGGGCCTGGTTCTCGGGTATGAAAGAACAGCACAAGAAAATAAGACAATCACAAGCATCATAAAACAGACTGTGCGAAAATTACAGCATCTCCAATATTATCGCGTGGCCTGTTGGCAACAATTAAGACTCTTTGGTTCTTGTGTCTACATAACTGAAAAGGATAATCAAAGGATTGTAGTTAGTTATACTCAACATACTTCGTCAAATAGTACAAAAAAATGGCTAAAAATTTCTAAATTTTTACACAAATAAAATCGAAAATACCACATCTTAACTTTGCTTGTTTTCCACTGTTTTAGGTAAAATAGCTCGAGCTGGTTTTCTAGAGCAATACAGCAAACGCGGCTTTTAAAAAAAAGCAGAATTGTCGCTCCACGTTCCAAAAAAGAAATAAAATTCATCTGAGCATCATTTTATCTTCGCTATTTACCCTCTTGTTATCAGGTGTTCAAATTACCTTACATGTTTAAACAACCATGATTTCGTGAATATTTATCATACATGCATAACAATATACAAGCGCATGTATGCTTACAACATACTGACTCGGAAATTTTGGTTGGTAAGAGATTTAAACAATTAATTATCCTCATCATAAGATAGTACTACGCATATTATACTTTTAATTCTAAGAATTTTTTAGTTTTTTTAACCAGAAGAGTGTATAATAGTATTTCGACCATATTCATTATCGACGACACGTTTTGCTAAATACAGAGCTCATTGGACTGGCTGAGACAGATAAAACAAGTATAATAAATTAAAATCTTGCTTTATGAACTTAAAAAAAGGCGTTTACACACACCATAACATTGGTGAACAATTGTAACGCTAAGCATAGGCGTCTAATAAGGGGGAAGAAGGGACACATGCTACCCGATTTTTCTAGAAAAACATATTCTCATTTCCTTCAAGCCTGTTCTTCCTTACAAGTTACACCTCCCCTTCACCATCATTTCTCCATCCTCGTGAAATGCTATAACTTACTTGAAAAATCTGCTTCAGAGAAAACAAAGATCTTCTAAGTTCTCGTCCCGTGCTGTTTAGTAACTTTTCTGTAATGGTACAAAGAAGAAATAAAAATCACACATGTATAAAAGTAACAACATTTCATAAATATATTGTATATATATATTAAACACAGCCTATTTAAAAATGATTTACATACATGCACAGTGGAATCTACAATCTTAGCAATAAATCCAAGTGTTACCCATTTATTAGGTAATAAATACAGAAATTGTAAATAAGCAAGTTTTACCTTCTTGCCTTTGGCAAAGATTGGGGTAAAAGGCCTAGCTGAAACTGGGATATTAAGTGTGACTTAAATTCAGCTTGTTCGTATTGTTGCGTCAGCGAGGTTACGTGACTCGTTCTCTCGAACCTTCGAGAATTGTCGGGAGATTACTAGATATAGGGTAGTCTGGTATATATATCAGAGGGTGACAACGTGACGGAATAATAATGTGTGTGTAGGTAATGAGTAATTGAACTGCAGTCAGAGAGAGACGTATTGTTGAAGTCTAGCTTGTGATACGTGAATTATAGTTTGTTATAGCGCAACTGTTGAAGTTGAGTGTATCGGTAAAGTTA